AATATAAACTTAAAATTATATATTACAAATATATAATTATGTTATATATATATATATAAAATACAGAAATCAGTCCACAGATTGATTTTCACTGTAGTATCTAGTTTGTATTACTCTACTCAAAGTAGGTCACTTTGACTGAGGGTGGCTGCATTGCCTCGAGCACCCGGACTTGATTAGTAACTCATCCAGAGCGTAAGCGTAAGCTGTAGCTGAACCCTGGTTGTACTCAATGTTCATTCTTTCAGCAGCTTAAATCAAGCTGCTTCATTAGCTGGACACATCTGCAGGAGCTGCATTCGGGCAGCGCTTCAGTTCATGGCAAGTACGCCTTTCTCAGCCCACCAATGACCTGAAGCTTGGCATTTGTTTAACTGTGTACGGATGAGCAAGTGGCAGGATTACTGCAAAAACCTGTCACAGTATTAGACAAAAGCCCAGGCTGACCTGCCTGACTAATCAAGAATTTCTTACCTAGAGCATCCATGAATTTACACCGTGAAACAAAGCTCTTGTTCATTTAACCATTGATACTCCGCATACAATTGAAAAGCTAAAGAAAAATACAATTCTTCCCAAAACTGCACTCTTTGGAAGCATTACTGTTTAATACTTGACAGCTACTTATATTTTCAAGTAAATTAATTCTTTTCAGACAGAATTGTTTTACTTGATAAAAATAGCATGCTTTCATGATTTAAACAACTGCCTAAGTATATCTGGAAATACATGGTACGCTAGGGTTCACATCACACTGTTTGGAGCAGATGGCATGAACAACTTATAATACAGGGCAGTATTGTTCCACAGCACATCTTAATTTCTATTTCATTAGTATTTTACCCATTTTCTTTTTGGTCTAGCCTCACTCAACATTTTTGTTCTTTTCAATTGTAACAGCCTTTACACTCAAATTTAAAACCACGTCTCTGTCAGTCACAATTCTGTGATGAAACTTACTTGTAATAAAACCCAAGCATTTGACATGTAATTAATCCAAAATAAACATACCTGCTTCTGATCCTTTACACTCTTCCCTCTTTCCAACACTTTAGCAAAAAAGACATAAAAACTCTCCTCAATAGGCAAAAAGACAAACCTGGCCACCAGCGAACCAAGATTATTCACGATATCATATACACCTTAAAAACAAAAAGACACCAACACAGCAGCAATCTTTACATTTTTTTAGACACATTTTAATTCCAAGTCATTAACAATCACACAAATTCTAATTTAATATTTCCACCACACAAAGAGAAAACAAGAGGAATTTAGTGCAACATTAAAGCAGCATTCCCTAAAAGTCCGTCACAGCAACCACAGCTCAAAATTACAAGGTCTGCTCGTGGATAGCAAAGTCAGGACAAAAGCATCAACTACAGAGATGTGAATCTAGTAAAAGCACCGAGCCACGTTAAAAATTCTTACAGTAGAGGAAGTCAAAAGATCCTGATGAATTTCACTGAATGAGAACAGGAATGTAAGGATTTACTGACACAGGAGAAGAGAAAGAGATCTGTTTTTAGTGGGAGGTTCTTCTTTCTTTCTATTTTCATTGAAATGGAAAAGCAGTCCTACATAACATTTTACCACCTCTTCCATTCTCAGCAAGATACTGCTCCAAACCTGCTAAGACATCTCTATGTACATATGTACATGCAGACTACAGCCATTGAGAGCACACAAAGTCAGGTATACGGATAAGTGCTTTACATATGGAAATAATAGTGTAAGGTTCTGGCTGATTTCATAGGACTTAAAGTGTTGAGAAACATTAGTTTCAAGACTACAGGTATTTTTGTACTCATTGCTCTTTTAAAGACTATTCAAGCAAGAGGCAGCTCCGTTGTTCTGCAGTGGAGGAGGATCAGATGTGGATGCAGTCACTGGTAGCAAGCATATATACTCAGCATTTACGGGGGGAACATACTGCTGCCAGCAATTAAAAGCAATTGAAACTAGCCAAGAGACTTCCAACAGTGGGCCACCAATTACAGCCTATTTTCCTTCCCCAGGCTATAAAGACCTGAGGTAATGGCACCTCAGTCATCTGAACTGCTACCGCCATGCACTACTCTGTAAACACAACACATTCTTTTACAGAATGTAACTCAGTTATGAGATGCCATGCTACAAACAACAATGTTCTTGCTGTTAGCAGCTAACACGGATACAAAAAGGAAGACAGAAAACATCAGGAAAATTGAATTACAAAAACTTAAGACAGACAACTATAACACATTAGATATTAATAAAGTGTTTGGGGTTTTTTTAAAAAAGAAGATACATAGTATCACATATCCAACTGAAAGTTCTAATCCAAAGGGAAAAAAACATAAAATCCAGCATCTTAAACTGAATTATTTTCTAAATCTGTACCAATCATTCTCCAAAATGGATCTCAAAGTCACAAAGGCTTTGAAATCTTCTCTGAAAAAAGTCTTTTCCAAAACCATCTAAAGAGCTGTGACTAAGAGAACTGTGTCACCATTTCACAATATCACCACACTTACCCTGATCTCCAAAATTTAACACGTTCAAAAAAGTCATCACATATCTTTCACCTGTAAGTTCAAAATAAAGAACTTAAGAACAATTTCCTAAATCTTTCCTAATATTTAAATGTTCAGGCACTTCTAACATTAAGTATTCAAGAGACAAAGTCAAACAGGACAGTATCTACTTCAAAACACCCTCAGAACTTCATTCATGTTGGTAACATCTGCTGGCAACAACCTCTGAAGTCACAGGCCCACACCTTCCCAGCTTTCTCAACTTTAAGTCAATTTGGTAACCAGTATTCACTTCTAGCCCTTCTCCACCACAACTGCACGTCAAGCCTCACCTTCTGTCAAAATTTGTTTCAAGAAGGATTGTTTGAAGAAGCTCCACGTCAACCACGCTTCCTTCCAGTTAACAAAGCTCTGCAAAAAAAAAAAGTACGGAAATGTAACAAACATGATTAAATCTACAGAGTAGAAATAGAAAATACAGAGCCATGATGAGGAAAACCCACAGTGTCATAGCTACTATCAACTACTCTAAAGTACTGTTAAATTCAAGCACCAGTATCATTCTGATCTGGCACGGACGTTTTCCCTTGCTGAAGGTTACTGTTGTTGCAGATAAAGTATCCAAACAAAGTTTCAACAGAAAATAGTATTCAAAATTAGAGATGGGGAAAAAACCCCACGCTGTTTAGCATGCCATTACAACTTCCACCTTAATTGTAAATATAAATTGCTTACTGTTCTTCAAACTGTCCCCACAAGCCCTGCAACCAAGAACTGTCTTTATCTTTTCAATCTGCAAATCTTTTTTTCAAAACTTCTTATTCCTCACTGTCTCTTTTAGTTCCTTTTTTTGCCTCATCTTCCTTTGAGAGGATATCAGAGATATTTGATTATCTGCAGAATGCTGTGTAACACCATGTTTAGCTTGTGGAAAATCCTAAGTGCCAAAATTCATGGTGAAATGGTTCTGGCTGCTTTCCTGCCTCAGATGCTGTGACACCTGGTCATTCCCCTGCACACTGCAGGTGTTCTATCTTCAGTTAATGGCTTGAGCAAATACACTAAAAGGTAAGTCAGCAACGAGCCCATTAACAACAAAGAGGTCAAGTTTTGTAACATTTTTCTGACAAGGATTTTATTACAGATAAAGCCACTAACAGAATTTGCATGTTTGCGTTTTTTAATCAGTAATATCTTCTACGGCGCAGAGCATCCTCAAAACCACTCCATTAACTCCACTATTTGCAAGTAATTTTCAAAGCTCTCTCATGAGAGGCTTACAAAAGTCAAGAGATAAACCTCATCTAAACCTACCTCATCTTCCACCAAGCTAGGTAACAGAGCTTTCATTCTAGCAACTGGAAATGACTTCTTTGTTGCTTCAGGAGATCCCAGAAACATCACAAAATAAATTACATAGCACATCACCAGAACACTGGCATATAAAAGCTGGAGATATAGGGAAGGAGAGAGGAAAAAGAAAGTGATATAAAATTAACTTACAAATGCAGAATTACACGCTAGAATTACACACTAGTGTTCCAAATTCAGGGAGAAGAAATTGCAGTAAGTAGTCCTTACTCCTATCAAATTTTAAACTACGTGAAGCCTTTAAATTTACCTCCTAAGAATGCAGTTGACTTTTTTTTTTTCATCCGTAGGTTATCATAGCCCATTACTAACATTTACGTTTCCAGCATTTTTAGAATTATTATTTGAAGTCCAATTATAAAGCAATTATTCACTCAGTCAAAAATCAAGTTGACAGTGGAGCTACTGTCTACATGTCTTATGTCGATCAGCTATAAGCTACCTACTACAGCCACTGCAAAGACTCAACAACAATAACAACAACAAAAATAACCTAACATCCACACCTGAGGTAGATCCCATTTCTATTTCCTAAGTGAACTGACAGTGCACAGGCCACAGCCTTATATTTCAGGTGCCAATATATCCATTCTTCATTGGAGTAAAGAAAAAGTTTTACCCTGAGTACATTACACACGATTAGCACCTTCTTAGAAGGTGATACAGGTTGGTGGCACAGGCCATAGTTACATGTGATCATAATTCAAAGAATTCAAAGGCTATCGTTAATGCTGAAGCCAGATGACGAAATGTCCTCCAAGTAGCAGAATGTGCAACTCATTAAAAAAGAGGCAACATAAAGCTTATACAGAATAACATCATCTTATCTGCAAAACGTGCCTTCACAAACAGAAGGTGCTTTCTTGTTCATCCATTAAACTGCTCCGAGTCAAAATGCCAAGTCAATAATGAGTATCAGAAAAATATGAAATACAAGCACTAAACCCTCCCAGGAGCATTTTTTTCTCCCCTGGCCAAACTTAATTAGCAGGCTAGATGTCAAATGCAGCAGCAAATAAAAATTCAGATTAATCAGGAACTGACAGAAAGAAAGAGAACACAGGAAACTTACCTGAGCCAAGGAAAAAATGTAGAGGCCCCATTGAGGATAAAGCACTACTAAAATAACCGTCAAAATACACTTTGACACTACTGAAAGGCTTTCAGCAATTACCTTTAAGAAAGGGAGAGCAGAGGTTTGTTTTCTGCCAACTTAACCACATACACAAATTTAAACCACATTAGCTTCACACCCAGAATTTATGCAGGAACACAGGATTTTCAAAGTCAGGGTGACTTTATCAGAGTCTCTTTCTGCTGCGTTGGCCATCTTAGACTGTAATTTCTCTAAGTGTTCTGCTCTTGCATTTCCCAATTCTTCCATTGCACTTTCCCAGTCCTTTGTATGGGACACAAGGCAGACAATTTTTCTTGAGACAATCATGTTCTCAACTGTTTGTCTCAAAATTTCATACCAACAATCAACCAAAATGCAAAACTGTGGAAGCTGTGTACCTCTCACTCCAATTAAAACTGACGATTATGTCTTTAATTACCACTAAAGTGACAATTTCTAAATAAACCAACTTCCTTGCTTTAACAGGTACAAATTTGTACCTACGCAACTATGTCATACAGCACTAAACAGTACACACAGGTGTTTTTATATGCTTAAATACATGAAGAGCTAGTTCAGTTATCTGTTCTTCTCAATAGAGAAAGATAATTTCCCCTCACATGCATGCATGCCATGTACTTTACTTACCTTAAGTCTCACAAACAAGTGAACTTGTGCTAAAACCCAGAACGGTTCTCCCAGAAGCTCGATAATTGCAGAAAGACCAAATGCCACTACACCAGCCTGATAATGAGGAACCACAGAAGGATCAGGTACTTCAAGCAAGTGTAGCCAGACTAAGCCCAAGAAAACAGACCAAAAACCACCAAGAGGGACTCTAAAAAGTTAACATAAAACCAGATCAGTAGATATGTTACTTTAGGAGAAAGAATAAAAAAAAACAAACCAAACCAAACAAACCCAACAACAACCACCACCACCACCAAAACCCAAAGAAAATTAGATTAAAATTTCACACACTGCCACAGTAAGTTTTAAAAAAGAAAAAAAAAAAGGCTCCAAATAATTAATTTCTATTGTTACTATATGAAGAATACTTCTTTTTCGTAATCAACATCTTTAAGGTACTCTACAAGACACAGAATACATTTTTTACTTGTCTATTTTCTACTCAAGAGCCTAACATAAGGTCAACTACCTGCACTTCTTGTTCCCTGGGACCAAACAATTTTGATCCCCTATCAGCCTGCAGAACGTTGCAAACCCCTCACTGCTGCAATTTTTATATGCTGCAACTTTTATATGCTGCAGTTACCGGGGTTTGGCAGACAAGCTGGGTTGGATCTTGCTGAAACAGGTACCACCAACTGCCGGTCTCACTCTTCCAGAAACCACTGGTTCTCCAAAGAGCAACAGCAGAGTGAGCAGAAGAAAATGCATGCCTGCACCCCAGGTATGCCAGTTCACAGCACTCTGCTGTACCTCAGCAGCAACTTCGATTAGCAACTATAGGTAAAAAGCCCAGCAGGCACAGGGGTGCAGACGTGTGTGACCTTCTGTCAACACCACTTCAGGAACATGAAGCTTTGGGCAGAGTGTAGAAAGTTCTACGTCACTGCACCAGGATCTATTTGACCCTCCCATTATCAGATCCCTAAGGTATTTGACATCAAGCTCCTAAAATGTATTTCAGATCTTTCAAAAAAGTTAATCTTCATTTTAAGCTACACTTCTCTTTAATTTAAAAAGAAAAAGGTGCGCACAGTCATTGTTAATGCTACCATTTAATGCCCACTTGAAAGGCTGTCAAATAGCAGAAAACTGATTATAACACAGCACAGAGAACAGATCTATTACATTTAAAATATTAGTATTAAAATATTAGATTAAACAATCCCTCTTCTTTATACCAGGATGAGGACGACCATGCATAACCCCCATTCCCATGCAGGTCTAATTAAGAGCAGTGCAGTTCCAGGGAAGTCGGTAGGGTGCCCCAACAGAAGATTATTATTTTTTGTCATGCAGTGGTAGTTTCCCATCATATCAAGCAGTTAAACTTAATTCCCAACCCATGTAATTGTGGCTGCACAGCTGTTAGATTTGAGAGAGGGGGAAATAGCAGAGAGATGTATCCAGGAACCAGAAGGGAGAAACAAGTCATAAAATCCACTTAGCTGCAAAGTGTCACTATGCTCTGGCTGCAGCTCCATGCAGACCTTAAGCTATCTATTTCCTGCTATAAGCAGCCCTGCAGTTAAAATAAGTAGTCCTATTTACTCCCTGTTCCTTAATTCCAACTCTTTCTTTCGCCTTTTCGCATCTCTCCTACCCAACACAAATGTTTATGTTGCTACACCACTAAACTTTAAAAAAATAAAAAAATCAAGACATTGAAAAAAAAAAACGTTTGGGAGTGGAGGGGGGGATCTAAAGCAGCTTCACAAATGCACATCAAGTAATAAAAGGGCAAGACTAAAGCAGACAGTGGGGGGGAGGGAAATAAAGGACTAGGCATTTGTACAGCAATTATTTCCTTTAACACCTACAACATAAATGAAACTCCAGGCTAAGTGACAGAACAAATGGCTCCTGAGAACACCTTTCATGTGCACCTGAGAGCACATTTACTCCAAAAAGAGATCAAGTCTATGAATGCTAAGGCAACAGACTTGACCGACTTCCTACATCAGTGCTGAAACAAGACTAAGGCTACTAAATGCTCAGTGCTGAAATAATTACATCAACAAGTAAGTACTTGCTCTCATTTTATGAGCTCTCAGACAAGAATTAGAAATAAATTCTAAAGAAATAAATTTTAAAATGTATCTCACGTCAGCCACAATAGATTGATTGTTTTGGTCCAGTTTCGCTTTGTACTTCCACTCAAACAAGCTCTGCGAAATGCCTCCCTGGCTAGGAAGATAACTGTTGAATACAGTAGAGTCAGCCTAAAAGAGGTGAGAAGGAAGGAAAGAAAAAGTAAAATTATTTCTTTATACACTGCTTCTGAAATCTCTCTCACAGTAGCATCACTGATAGTGTTTATACAGGACCTCCTGACAGACAAATCTAACAGGCATGCAATGGTGATGTGAGGTAAGTTAACACTACCTCCTAAAAAAGGCAGGAAAGTAAGTAAATGCAATTATTCAAATGACAAAAATTAAGCATTCCATAAACAAAAAATGCAGTTGCAAAATTTATTGTACTGCAACAGCACATAATATGCAATTGTATCTAGCTTGTCCTCAGCAAGTTGATGTTTTAACGTGGAAAACTGGCCAGCAGTACCTCTGTTTCAGGCCAACAAAGAAACACAGCGATCAAACACTGTAAAACACTGAACAGTAAATTAAACCGCGTTATGCAAAGCGTATTAACCACACCCCCCACAGCCCGTAAACCCGGAGATCCTGCTCCCAACGCGCTGTCACAAAGCCCCCTTCAGTCGGGAGCCCTCACCTGACGCTGACCACGCCGAGCAGCTCTCTGGAAAGGTAGCGCAGAGTGAACGCGTTCAGCCCGAAGGTGACGGCCCGGAACAGCACCTGTGAAGGAAGCCGTACGAGAAACACCTGCGGGCCGAGCGGGGCTGAGGCGGCTCCCGCCGGGCACCGCGGAGGAGTAAGCAGGAGGGGAAAGGCGGCCCGGGGCGGCCCCGCACCTGCAGCAAGGCGCTGGAGGAGGCCAGCCGGGTGGCCTGGCCGAGTACGTCCTGAGAAGCCATCGCCGGCAGGAAGTGGCGCCGCCGTCGCGCCGCGATCTCGTCAGAGCAGTCGGGCCCGCCCTGGACTGCGGGCGGGAAACGGACAGGGGACACGGAACCCGCTGGGAGCGGGGCCTGGCGCTCCTCATTCTTAATGATACGGGATAAATGTGCCCGGCCTAGTAATGCTTTTGGCATCAATTATTAACGTGCAAAATAACCGGGCGCTCCGAGCTGCTCAGATGCTCAAACTATTCAGTGCCAGCTTTCTGCTTCACAAGCAGGTGTGAGAAATGAGACTCACTTCGTAATGTCAGTCATCATTTCGGTTTGTTATAAAGCAAAGGCAAAACAGCGCTGGGTGCGAGGGGGAGTCGCCTCACCGCAAGACTTGCACACCCACAGAAATTCGCAAAGGGTTTTTATTCTACTGAGGTATACATGTTCATTATTACTTCCTAGAAAAAGGTGGGCTTATGCAAATGATTTAACAAAATTAGTTTGCATATTCATTATCTTATATGTGCATATTCTCGTTGACTTTTTACTTGTGGTCTAGCCCTTATGTGTCAAGTCTCAGCTCCTGTTCAGAAATGCTGCTAAGCACATCTATCCAACACGAGTCATGATTTCTATTTCTTACAATTCCCCCTCTTTTTCTATCCTATTGACTCCTGTTTGCTTTTCCTTTTTTTTCCCCTCTTATTATTCTCAAATTTATTTAGGTTCTCTCTCTTATTATTCTCAAATTTATTTAGGATTAACCTTATTTGTTCACCTGAGTTAGGCTTTGGCTGGATTTTTCATAAAACCATTATCTTGTTGGAGGTCCCTTGGTCTGCTTGCTTTGGGTCCATTGGCACGCTCACGACCTGCATTCCCTGAACTACAGAAATTATTGATCGAATGAAACATGGAATCATACAGGGTAAAAAGAGCAACCCGGTTATTGCACACAATAAAAAGAACCCCACGTTTTTCCACCATGACTTTCCCAGTATTGTGTCCCACCAATTACTATTTAACATTGATTCCTGTTTTTGTACAGGCACATGAGCTATTTTACGGATTTCTTTGGCCAATTCGGTCACCGCTTGTCCATTGTCATCAATCTGTAGGCAACAGTCAGAGGAGTTGAACTTCCCACAAACCCCTCCCTCCTCGGCCAGCAAATAATCGAGGGCCAGTCTGTTTTGGTAGCCCGCGGCTACCAAATCTCTGGTCTGAGATTGTTTTTTCGTTATTAGCTCAAGAGCCTGTGCCCTTTTATTGGTGATTATTTCGACCACAGCTTGTAACCGGATTATTCTGTTCAACATATAGATCAGGGTGCAGTAACCCCAGCCCCATCTTGGGCCCAAGTAGCCGGTCCATAAGTTTGAATCATTCTTTCTGGTGGCCATTCATCTTCCCCCCAAGTCTGGGTTCCCCCAATTGAGTCCCTCCAGCCCCTTCTTATGGTGCCAAAATCTTCGTATACAAGTACACCCAGTTTGGTCCCCTGCTTTAATGGTAACAGGAAGAATCCCGGCTGGATTACTCCTATTGTACAGCTTCCTTTCCAGCTTTAGGTAGCTCTGTATACTCTGTTTTTCTGCATACCCAAAACATACCATCTGGAGCCTTCCAATCTATGGATGTGCTGTTTGCTCAATCCCAATACCTTTTTAAATTCTTTATCCCTTTAAAAGGGTTGGGATTTTGGGTATCACTGCACCAAAAGAGATTTGTATCGTTATTGAGTGTACAATTATTCTGATTGTGTAGTGAGCAATATCCCGGGGGCGGTTGGGGCCACCATGATTCATTAGAGTCACTCACAATTTTTGTCCGTTTGCGATAGGTTTCTCCCACCCTTGTTTTATGCTCTATCCCTCTTCGTTGTGTGCATTCCTCCCCGATCACTTTGGAACTCAAAATCCATCCTTCTGCTCTATGTTCTCTGGAAACCTGGGTATTATTCCACTTTATGATATCCAAGGCATTTAAGCTGTTCCCTTTCCATGGCCACTCCTCAGTCATTAAACACAGGCTCCTCCACAAACCCAGCAATTCCTTACATTTAATGTCTGATTTATTCTTTCCATCAAATCTACAAATAGGGTTTTTTTTTCCCAACCCAGGGAGTTGGAAGTCATCTTTCAGTTTTCTTTTTCATCCCGTATATAGATCGCTAAAAGCTGGGAACGATTTAGGGCGCATTAGACTCTTTACCCAGGTTTTAACTATTTCCTCCTTTTTTAGATCTTGGACACCCCCACCACTGGAAATGTCCCAGTGTCCCACCTTTGAAAACCAAATCCATTCTTCCCCTCTTGGGCACATTAGTCCCATTCTAATTCCCCCCTTTCCAAGGTTTTTTTTCCTACCCATAGCTCTACCCCACTGACTTTGCACGATTGCAGAGAGGTTTTATCATAACAATGTTTGTTTATGTGGGTATGGTAAGACAGGGCTGATGTTGATTTTCCTCCATAACAGACTGTCGTTATGCAGTTGTGGCAGTTATCGCCTGAGCCAAGTTGCATTGCTGTTGTTATCAGCAGAAGGGGTCCAGTGTAACGTCTGCCCCCACACCTCATGCCCAACGGGAGTGCCGCCCGTGGCCGGTTTTCCATGGCGAGTACAGAGGTTAACCCGGTCTTGCCCCCTTATACTTAATATTTTCTCTGAGCCCTTTTCTACGCCAACTTCTTTGCGCACTATGGCAAAGTCCTGTACCAGTCCTTATCCAGTATCTCCCAGTTTTCTGGAATTAATAATTCCCACCCACAAAATAGCTGCTTAATGTGCGTGTGTTCCAATCGATCTCTAATTAGGTCGTAATCCCTAAAAAGATCACTGCAACATTTTCTACACTGGGGGTGTCGGTTATGTGATACACAGGACCATTTGAGATCACAGTTTACACATTTACAGGTAACCCAGCATATATGTCCTGTTTCAGGACGCTTAATACGTGGGATTTGGTATGGCAACAGGGATGGCAGGAGCGGGGGCTGTTCCCTTTTTCCAGATCGGAAGCCAAGGCAAAAATTCTGGTTGAGGGTATGGTTCTATATAGTCCAGCTCCCCCAGTTTGAC